AACTCAAAACCAATCTGGACAAGAAACAAGGCACTACACAGTAGCCTTGTCCTGTAATTCCTGTATTCAGAGGCTAAAGCGGAAAAACTCAAGACCTAGTGGCCAGCCTGGGACACATAAACAAGTTTAACACCACATATGGTATATTTTTAATTTGTTACACCTACTTATTTGTGCATGTATATATATGAACACAAGCATGTGCCATGGCTCTAGGAAGCCTGTGAATGAAGATCCTGAACAAATCTGCTCCCTCCTTCTACCATGTGGATTTCCCAGGGTTAGTAGCAAGCACATTTACTCACTAAACCATCTTGGTGGCCCTATCCTTTGTATGTCCAAAATAGATAAAGAATTGTTATAGTTCAACAATAAGGAAAACATTTTAAGTGAGCAAAGGCCTTCACCTTTCTCCAAAGACACACAAGTGAGCAACAAACTCATGGAAATATGCTTACTAGCATTAGGCATTAGGAAACCACAAAACCATAATGAAATACTACACCATATCCAACAGGATAACAACTTACAAAAGAAAAAAGACAGCAGGCAAGCATTGGGAAGAACATAAGGAAGTTAGAAACTTGTGCACAGCTGATAGACGTTTAGTAGAAAACTGTTTAGAAACTCCTCAAAAATATAAGCACTGTCACATCACCTAGCAGTTCCACTCCTCGGGATAAACCCAAAAGAAGTGTAAACAAGTATTCATATAAATACATGTACAAACATGTTTGTGGTAGCAATATTCATAAATCAAAAAAGTAGAAACCAGCTAGAGAGATGGCTCAGCTGTTAAGAGTGGATACTGGCTGAGTGTTGGTGGTGCACGACTTTCTTTAATCCCAGCACTCAAGAGGCAGAGCCAGGAGGATCTCTGTGAATTCAAGACCAGCCTGGCCTACAGAATGAATTCCAGGACAGACTCCAAAGCAATACAGAGAAACACTGTCTCGAAAAAAAAAAAAAAAAAAGAGTGGATACTGACTTATAGAGGGACACGGGTTTGGGTCCCAGTACCCACACTGGATGGCTCAATCATCTGTATCTCCAGCTTCAGCTGGTACCCTCTTCTGGTCCCAAAGGGCACCTGTATGTATGTGACACAAATACAGACAAGCAGGCAGGGACATACACAAAAAATATACAGTCAGAGTGTGTGTGTGTGTGTGTGTTTTGTTTTGTTTTGTTTTTGAGACAGGATTTCTCTGTGTAACAGCCCTAGCTGTTCTGGAACTCACTCTGTAGACCAAGCTGGCCTCAAACCCACAGAGATCCTGCCTCTACTTCCTGAGTGCTGGGATTAAAGGCGAGTGCCATCACTGCCTGGCATGTGTATTTAAAGTAGAAACAATCTATATATCTGACAGGTGAATGGATAACCCAAATACCATGCATACGACAACAGAACACCTTTTAACTATAAGAAGAATGAAGTGATCTTGTAAGGCAGATGAAGCTCAAAACCACAATGAATAAAAGAAGCCAAACACAGAGCAATGGTCATATTATAATCCCATTGCTATGAAACAGCAATTACAGGTAAATGCAAGAGAAATTACAGTCTCAGCTGACAGGTTAGTGGAATAGGGTAACACAGAAAAATTGCTTAATATATCTGAGGTATTCTTTGGAGCAATGAAAATGTTTTAGGACTCAACAAAACTAGCATACAATAGTGTAAATGTAAGGAATGCCGCTGGATTGTCAATAAAAGTAGTCAATTTCAAGTAAAGAACATTTCACCTTAATTTAAAAACAAAAACTATACTGTGGACAGGCTGTGGCCTGCAGCACTGCCTGCCAAGTTTGTCTACACCGATTATAAATAGAGCAGAGCCAGGATCAGCAGAGCAGGCTTCACCTTGAGTTGATGACCAGTGTAGACACGCAGGCAACACCCAGGCTCAGACTCAGAACCTACACTGAACAAGCTCTCCAGGTGACATCACCATGTTAGAGCATTTCCCAAGGCACTTACCAAACACATGAGGCAGACACATGAGAACATATATACATAGAATGTGCATAGGAGGTTGTCTGAAGGAGCACAGCCCATTAACAGAAACAGGAAGAAAGCCAGTGACAGAGCTGAGTCCCACAAATGTCTGTTGGTCCATAAAGAGAAGCAAGGATGCCAAGCACAGGAAGTATCTCTTGAAGCATGACATGAGTGCCTACCAGACACTACCCCAAGGAAGGAAGAAGAGGACAGATAGGCAGAGAGCTCCATACAACTCCTATGTGCAGGCCTCCGCCCAAAGACCCAGAGTGAGACATAATAACTTACAAATGTCACTCAAGACAGCTTGGTGGGGACAAATGTCAGTGGTACACCCCTTTAATCCCAGCACTCAGGAGTCAGAGGCAGGAAAATCTCAGAGTTCGAGGCCAGCCTGGTCTACACAGTGAGTTCCAGGACAACCAGAGCTGTTACACAAAGAAACACTATCTCGAAAAACCCAAAAACAAAAAAGAAAAAGAAATGTCCTCAGAGTGACTATGCACAGAGGGCAAAGGGTAACCTAGATCCTGAGTCCCCAGGTGGAAGGATAGCTTTTCTCATTAACCCTCTGAGATGTGGTTTCCTTTTCTGTTAAAAAAAAAAAAATCAACTTCACAAAAGAATTTAGGAAGGTGAACTGAGATAAAATAAAAGAGTTCACAGTAAACCTCATGACTACATCATACTACACAGGGACAACTTGTTGTGTGATGGTTAGTTTTTTCTCAACTATACACAAGCCATCTAGGAAGAAATTTCAGTTGAGAAAATGCCTCCACCAAACTGGCCTATAGGTAAGTTTGTGGGCTGTGGGGTACTGCTTTTACAATTATGAAAAATTGATGTGGAAGGGCCCAGCCCACTGTGGGTGCTGGGTACTGTGGTTGGTGAGTACCACCTCTGGGCAGGTGGGTCTGGATTTTTGTTTGTTTTGTTTTGTTTTCTGAGACAAGGTTTCTCTGTGTAACAGCCCTGGCCTTCCTGGAACTAACTTTGGAGACCAGGCTGGCACAGAGAACCTCCTGCTTCTGCCTCCTGTATGCTAGAATTAAAGGTGTGTGCCGCCAACACACAGCGTGGTTCTGGATTATATAAGAAAGCAAGCTGAGTAAACCATGTGAAACAAGCCAGTAAGCAGTGTTCCTCCGTGGCCTCTGCTTCAGTTCCTGCCTTCATTTCCTACCCTTGAATTCTCTTCATGATGGAGTACGATTGGGATATGTATGCTGCAATAAACCATTTCTTTCCCAAATTGCTTTTTGGTCATGGTGTTTTATCACAATAAAAGCCTAACTAGGACAGGCTGTAATATTAAAATGTGTGATGGTGTATAGCTATAAGAGCAGACGTCTACATCAGGATCAGATGACACAGATGCCCACTATACTCATTAATGATGGGCCTAACCCCAACTGAGCAAGCACACTTGGGTAAAATGGGCAGTGCACTTCAGTTGGTGACCCCCAGAATCCTAGGATGAAGGGCAGAGGTATATTCCTATGTCTTATCCTAGATATTACACAAGTTCTTCATCTCTTGCAAAATCAGCTACAAACAGGCCTAGAATTCCCGCCCTTCCAGGATCAAATGTTATAGGAGACCAAGGTGAAAAAAAGATGCAGCAACTATGACATATAAATGAATTTATGACAAAATGAGGCACCACAGATGTCAGCAATTCTCTCACGATTAGACAATCAGACAAAACAAAGACCCCCCCAAATAATCACAAGCGGGGCGATCCCAGAAAATACCATCTCTGATATTGCCAGCCTCAATCAAACTATAGCTATCGCCTCTGTCTATATCAAACCCAAAACTATACCCTGGTATTTCTACCTGAGCCTGGGCCCAGCTTTGTACCATGGACGGTGAACTCATTCAGCACTGCTAATGGGGAAGTCACTCGCCCTCAGTTCAACCACCATTATGACCCCACCTTGCACGGCTCCAGGGGCACATAACCAAGCCTTATTCGCAGAGAGCAGCTCCAAGAAGAGCCCTAAGCATGAAACTAGCTTTAATTTTAACCTCATCCAAAGACAAACCCCCCAGGCCAGACTGTCTTAGAACTGAGGAATATTCTAACCTTAATGCTAGCTCTAGCCCTTTGCTGCCCAATGTCACCACAAATTGAAACAAGAAATGGGGACACTTCAAGTAACACTCACAGAAGAAAAAGGAGCCTGGGGCTCTGTGTTCCAGAATCACACACAGAAAAGCCTACCCAGAACATTAAGGGATCCCTATGGCTAGAAGGTTTTTGCTGTAGCCAGACAGCAACCCTTTGCTGGAGGAGGGGCCTGCAGTAACCCTGCAGACTTACTCACCTGTACCCAGGATGAGCCAGCCTCACTCCAGAAACAAATACACATGTACACACCATATTCTCTCTCTCTCTCTCTTCTCTCTCTCTCTCTCTCTCTCTCTCTCTCTCTCTCTCTCTCTCTCTCACACACACACACACACACACACACACACACACACACACAGACAGAGCCAGGCTTGAAGCTAACACTATGCATGCAACTTCTGGCCCTCCTCCAAGGGCTTATACATATGCCAAGTCTCTTTTAGGCGCTACCTGCTGGGAGCTGAAATCCTCTGGTGAAGTAGATAGCTACAAGCCTTATTCCCACTTCAACCTTCTTCCTCACCATTGTTTTGTTCATGGGATCTTGTCACATAGAGAGCCACAGGAAGCTAAACACAGCCCTAGCATCTAGAAGGGAAGTACAGGCCCCGATCTAAATGTCAACTGCTAGTAGGCACAGAACTTATCAGTGCTTATCACAGCCTAGAGCCCACACATGCCCTTAGGCCCTGCCCAGAAAATTCTGTCCAGTCCACACAGGCCATTTTTCATCACATTCCCCATTGTCTGCAAGGGTCACTAGCAGACAGCTGTCTTGGCGTATGGGGGCCCTGTTACACCACCACTGCTTATGACAACCACAGCACATTCAGGCAGGATCTATGGGTGGGCAGAACTCACCAACATCCGAGTCTTTGTGAGTCTTGATTACCTCAGCAAGCTCAAAGTTCCCTGCAATGATGGCCACCTGGGAGAAAGAAGCCAACATATGGAGGGCAAGGAGGGAGGATCCGCAACCCAGATTTAACCCGCACCTCAGGTGCTCCTACTGGGGTCCTCAAAAAGCCACCCTTCTCTCAAGTCACAGCAGTCAATGTCTACTGGGACATCACTTCTAACGGACAAGAGACAGGATACTAGTAACTGGGGTTGGCCCACTGCCCTCATCTGCCTAAGTCAAAGGGTGCTTCTAGGACTCGAACAGATCTGTACACACTCGTAGAACTTTCAATCTGCCCCTATCTGCAGCCATAATTCCTGTATCAACCCTGGCCCCACAGCTTTTCAGCTGTGTCCCCAAACCTGGACATCTCATAGACCACAATGTATCAACTTCCAGATGTGCCCAAATCTTCAACCTCTGCCTCACACTCCTAGACACAACCGTAGCAGTTTGCCTTTCTGACATTCTCAGGGGTCCGTGCTCCCATTAAAAATAATAAACACCCCCTTCCCCGCTGCTTTCATGGTCCATAAATTCCCAAAATATCCTCAACTCCTCCAAAGCTCCAGGACACAGAGATGATAGCTAACTGGCTACCCAGTGCCAACCAGCCTGACAGACTAATGTCTCAGAAATATAACCTGAGCCAAGTCTAGCAGCGGTCACACACCCAGTTCAGGGTTGTCCTCACACTCCTGCCCGCTTCTGGGGAATCAGGCCCACCACACCTGTCTTTTTGTCCTCTCCATTTGGCCCTTCCCCAGAGTCCTGGAGTCACATGACACTTATCCATGGGAGTAGGATAGAGGCAACCACCACACCAAACACTCCCTCAAGTTCTGGGCACCACCCTAGCTCACTCACAGTGCCACCTTTGGTGGCAATCCTGAGAGTGAACACTCCCTTCTTGCCTTCTGAAGAAGAATCCAGGCTCAAAGTCAATCGGACATCCAAGCAACCCCCTGAGTCAGCCTTACATTTCGTACCTGGAAGGCTGTCTGGCTGTTGTAATTGCGGACATCCTTGTTGGCACCACGGAAAAGCAGGACACGAGCACAGCTCTCCTGTTGGGAGGCAGAAATAATCACACTGGGCAGCAGGAGAGGCAGGGCCGAACCATGTGGGGCACGCACACAGAAATGCTTATATAGGTGTGCAGGGCACAGGAATCACTCACACAGAGAGACACATGCCAAGGCTAAGAAGGACTATGTAAGCAGCTCTCATCTGAGAGCTAGTTGCTAAGAACATACACATGGACATATTGGTACATGTGTTCAGAGAATGGATGTGTTTAAGTAGGCCACCCAGTAACTGGACACAGGACATACACATGGGGTGTCCCACAAGCTGGGATGTACCGTCACCTGTGTGCAAGCACATACATACATGAAGTCGCACTTTACCACTCACAGAAAATGTAAATGAACCTACAGAAGGGTGAGACTCGATGTATACCTGGTTGTAGAGGGCACAGATGTGCAAGGCTGTGTTACCCGAGGCATTCTGGGCACCCATGTTGGCCCCATAGAACAGCAAGTGCTCCAAGTGCTGCACATGTCCAAAGCGGCAGGCCTGAGGAGAAGAGAGGTACTGAAGCCTCCGACACAGAGGCATACAGCCTGGACCCAGCCCCGGCCCCCTGCTCACCTGATGGATTTCTTGCCAGCCATTCTCATCAGTGGTCCCCAGCTGTGCATGATCATGGAGAAGCAGCTCGCAGCAGAGGGCATCCCCGCCCCCTAGGGCACTATGGTACAGGGGCGTCAGGCCGCGGCTGTCCTTGTAGTCAGGTGAAGCCCCCAGGTCCAGCAGAGTCTGAGGGTAAGGCACCTCAGGATCCATGCCAGGCCCAGCATTCTGCATGAGCCCATGAGTCCCTCCAGACCAGGGTCCTACCCTCACTGACCGTCAATGCCCCTGCATTCCGCTGGCGGGTGGCACAATGGACAGCTGTTAGCCCATCTCGGGTTCGGAAGTCCAGGTGAGCACCTCCATTGCGAAGAACCTTCAGGAGGTCAGTGGCGTTGTCCAACTGTGCAGCAAGGCTCAGAGGGCACTCTGGGTGTGGAAACAGATGAAAGTTAGGGTCCCAGCTGCTCAGAAAATAAACAAACAAAAAACAGCTTCCTCTTCTTCTCACCTCCTGAGTCAGGGTCATGGAAATTGGGGTCCAGCCCCTTGTCCAGCAGGCGGGCCACCTTGTCTGTGCTGTGTAGCTGGACATAGTCCATGAACTTCTTCAGGTTTGCCTGGAACACCAGCCATCCCAGTCAGCTAGGTGCCACAGCCATAGTCATGTTACCATCTATCACCCCCTTCCTCCAGCAAGTTCCCAACCACCTATAAGGTACACACTGTCCCTAACCCCAATCCATATAACCTGCCATTTGGCTTGCTCATCCTCAACCCATACCCTCACCTCAGCTCTAGTTCCATCTAGCCAAGGCGGAACTAGACCCATGTGCTTTCAACACCCTTCTTTGCAAATCCACAACAGCTGTCAGCCTAACCCTGGCCACTTTCACCACAGCCAGGTCACCTTAGTCACAGACCCCTACTGAGTCCCTTTCCTCAGCCTAAAAGAGCACTGAGTTCGTTCTGATAGGAGCCAAATACTAACAACTCTAGTCTCATTGCTCTGGCCAGGGTAGACCCCTGAAGTGCCCATGACATGGCTTTGCTTTTTCCTCCTTTGCCTAGCAAAACCTCACTAGCCTTGTCTGGTGGCACAGATGCCATTCACACAGGGCATGGTGTCCCCAGCCTAGGTATCTAGAAATAGCATGTATCGTAGAAAGGAGAGGTGCCTCATGGACCAGTATCATGGGTGAGGGTGATGACACCAGTGGAAGAATCTATGCAAATCATCTAGGGTGAACCTTAGACAGTCTCAAGGTAACAGAGGAAGAGGGTAGGGACAGCTGGACCCCAGGCAAGCAAGAGGACACAGATGCAGTGAGAAGTACAGATTCATCTGAAACACAGACAAGACTCACTGAAAAGCAAGTCATTCATGTCTTGTGGGCCCCTGAGAAAAGATCTAGAGAACCCACAGTGACATATGGGCCAGTGGAGGGAGACAGATACCTCTCTGATATGGTCTCTGACCAACAAGAGCCAGGGCCACTGGCTGTCATCTGCCCTGCAGTAGAGGAAAAGTCTGCCACAGAAGCCTAAGGATCTAGGACCATAGGTATGGTCTCAAAGACCTTTTCCAAAGCTCCAGAGACCATCAATGAAGTTCCCACAAGCAAATTCCCATTGGCCTACAAAGCTGGGGGCCTTAGTAAAGGGCTATGATACCCACCTTGCCCCTTGGACACTCACAGAAGTGTAGTGCCCCCTCAAAAAAAAAAAAAAAAAAGCAGGCCCACCTGGGAGCAGGTCCCAGAAGAAAAGACACTGTACAAGTGTACCCAGGCCACAGAGGGCCTACCTAGGCAGATCTGGGCCAGCTTCATTGGGCAGTCACAGCAGGTGACTCAATTCCTCTGCCTCACCTGTGAAATGTAGTAAATCCCTCCTGGGAGAGAATTAATGGGAGATCTAATTCACTGGACCTCTTGCACTAATGGCAAACACATTGAATGCTTATTTGTTTCCCTCTCCCCCAGCTTCAAACAAGGCACTCACCCCTACACCAGCAAAAAACTCTGATTTAGCTGGGACCTATCACTGGACCAGTCACAAGCATGGAGTCCGTGCCCAGCCCGGGACCAAGTCCTAAAAGCCACTTCAGGGAAAGCAGGCTGGGCCAAGGCAGAATAGGGGCACTGGTCATGGGAAGTCCCCTCCAGTGGTTACCTCTTTACCTTTGTGTGTAGCTTTGCAAACTGCTTGTCATCTATGAGGTTCTGGGCATAAACTCTCCGCTTGTATCGAAACTGCTCAGATAAAAGAAAAGGTGGAGAAAAGGTACCCACACAGGTCCAATGAGTAAGTAGTGGTGGCCCCCACCACGTGCTGCGCACTGCTCACCACCCTCCTGCCCACACTTTCACTGCAACACAGCCATGCAAGTCCCAGACACACACTTACAGAACGGACAGACAACAACTGACAGTACTCTGCCAATTCATGGCCTGGCGGGCCTGCAGCCTGTCTGTCTCATTCCCACCACCAGGTCTTGGGAAACTGCACTGCTCTCCCAAGATCTGGAACTAAGCTTTTATTCCTAGACACTTCCTCTCCAAGTAGAAATAACCCAGTTACCAGTTCTACCATGAGAATCAGAACAACCTTGACCTTGGTGCACATACATACATGCATACACACACGCATACACACACACACCTTCCAATTAGGACTCAAATCTCCATCCTGGAATGGCAACTCAAATCACCTTTATATGTCATAAATGGTGCTAGTATTTTGGGCCAACCTCAGAAGACTTGGAAGTGAGAGGTGAGAGACAAACGTGCACACGGATAACACTGTTCACACACCACATGACCCTTAAGGCACTCACTCACTCCTTCTCACACTCCTCCCTCCAGTATTCAAACTGCTCACACCACACATGCTGAGTGCATGTGCTGCAGGTGCTCATTGTATGCTGTACAAATTGCTCACTGCAAGCACTCTACACACTGCTCACACCGTTCTCCACGCTTAAGCTGCAACACACCACTTACCACACAAGCAGCTCACACTTCACCCTACCCACTGCACTCAGTGTACCCACCTCTGGCTCTAAGCACACTGCTCAGGCTGCACACAGCCCCCCACCGCTCCTGCTGCCAACTCCTCCCGGCCTGCCCTTCACTGCTCCAGCCACGGAGCTCAAAGATCACACCCAGTGCGCTCCATTCCACCCCCACCCTGGTCTGCCCAGCACCTCCAGATAGGGCAGGGGCGTGTCCAGGTTAGGCGGGTAGTCCTGTAAGAGCCGCTCTTCATCCAGGAACTTGCCGGCGCGACCCCGGGAGGGCGGCTGGAATAGCCCGTAGTTGAGCGCGTCCTGAAGGCTGTGGTTAAGGGCGCAGAGCACACGCTGCTTGGCGGCCCACACGGGCGCGGTTGGGTCCAGACGCAGGCACTTCTGCAGCGGAGCGAGTCGTGAGCCCGGACCTGCGAGCGCAGGGCACCGCGCCCCGGGCCCCGCTTGGAGGGCTAGTTGGGGAGCAAGAGCGGGGACCCCGCGCCACCGCGCCGAGGCCCCGCCCCGAGGCTGGGCTTCCAGGGCCCCGCCCCAGCAATGGGGAGGGTCCCGCGGAGGCGGCGGGGGAGGGGCGAGTGGCCGCGGCCAGGGGTCCTGGCGCAGGGCGCGCCCGGCAGGGGTCACCGCTAGCGGGGTACACAGGGGTACGGCGAGATCGCGAGGGCTCACCGTTTGTTGCAGGTCCGGGATGCCGACGCGCACGACCACGGCGCTGGCCCCGGGGCCGTCCATCCCGGTGCTAGCGCCCGGGCCCGGACTATTGCCGGCGGAAAGAGGAGCGCACGGGGATTCCGCGCGGCGCCCTGGCCCCCCCTGACCCCCCGCCGGAGCCCCGCCGACCGCGCTGCGCGGGAGGGGGCCGGGGGGGGCCGGGGCCGGGGCCAGCGCGGGGGACAGCGGCTCCGGGGGCTCCGCAGGCGCAGCGGCGGCGGCGACGGCGGCACGGTTTAGCTGCATCGGCCCCGGCTTCGAGCGGCGCCTGCCTTCCCCGGGGGCGGGGGCGGCGGGGGGAGGGGGCCCGAGCCCGGAGCGGAGCGGAGGCGGGGAGGGGGCCGCGCCGGAGGCGGGGACGGGAAGCCCAGGGCCGGGAAACTGGGGTCCCCCGCGGGGTCGGGGCGGCGTGGGCGTGTGGTGCAGAGGGCGGGGGCCGGGGGCCCGCGCGGGGGGGTAGTGGCTGTCGAGGGGGAGTGGCTGACACAGCGGGGGGATGGCACGCCGCGCTTCCGCTGCAGGCGAGCGTCGCAGACCACCGTACTAGGGTGACAGAGGGTTCTGGAGCTGGGTGAGGTACCTCTACGCGTCGGGGCTAGAGGACCACAAGCTGACCGAGAGGAAGAGACAAGCAGGAAAATTGGTGTCCCGGGGTGGAAATCTCTCCAGTCTGCCGACCCCACTCCAGATCCCAAGGAGGTGGTGGGATCAGCGGGGCACCGTGCTGGGTGGGAATCGGAGGGCCGCAGACCCCAGGCTCGAGCAAGGCGTAGCTGCTGTGCCACAGAGGCGCCCCCCAAATCAGCCCTTCTAACCGCACCCAGGGCGTTCATCTCGGCCCCCACCGCAGCCGAGTTTGGGGAGTCTGTCCGGACTCTGCGGCTTCCCCCCACTTTGGCTGGCCCAACCCTGCAGCTGGTCGCCCCCTCCCCGTCACCTTAGCGACAGTAGGATGGGGGCGCGACCTACGAGGAAGGGCTTAGGGGAGGGGGCGCCACTAGTCTCCACCTGCGACGGGGAGCTGAATTTTAGTTTCACACGTTGTCGTGGCAACGCGGGAGGGGGTGACGAGTGGGCGGGGAGGGGAGCGCTGCGAGTGAACCAACTCAGGCGCCGCCCGCGTGGCGTGCCAGTCTTAGCCCGGCGCTGCCTCGGAAGTGCCCAACGCGCGGGGACCCGCTCCCAAGGCCCAAAAAAGGTGCAGAAAGGCCCTGAATGGTTGAATTGCTCTACTAACACTAAGGTCTAGTCTTGCCTTCTACTGCTCTCTCCCACCTACCTTGACTTACGCCCCACCCCCTAACGGCCCCAGAGAGCCACTTATCGCTGGCGGTACACACTGGACAGCTTTTGCGGAGCAGCCTGGCCGGGAACTCTGCCAGTGGTAGAAAGCATCCCCTCAGCCCCAGCCTCCCCAACCCTCTCCATGAGCAGCCCTGGATCGCCCACAAAACTGGTTATTCCTGAACATCCCAGGAATAACCTTGGACTGCCCTGGTCCTATACATCATAGAGCCTAGCTTCACCAGATCCCACCCCTGAGCTCCCGGCTCACTTTAGACATGCCCTCACCCCACACAGAACAGTGATTGGTTAGACTTCCCCTCAAAACAGCCTGCGCTCCAAGGATCCATCACCTTCCAGAAGTGTCTCATGACTCCATACAGACAGGGCTTTCTGACCAATCCAAACTCCTCCATGGGCCACCTGGATCACTCCCACATCACTACCCTTGAAGAACAATCTCACCCTTCACCAGAGCCACTCACCACCAGAGCCACTCACCGACAGAGCTGTCTCCAGCGCTGCTGCGCCTCTGTTCCCAACTGCCCTCAGGCCTGGGTGGACCCCTCAGTGCTGGAGGAAGTGAAGCCCCATGAGGCCCTGACATTCAAGCCCCTCCCAAAGTCTGACTGAGTAGTGCAATTTTGGGTACCCTAGGGGCTAAGGCAGGATGTAAGAGCAGGAGTCTCTCTTATCTCCAGGAAGCACCTTGGGAAGCTCAGGGCTGGGTTTCCTGTGTCCCAGCACAGACAGGAAACTTTGCTTCCTGGCAGAGTTTCACTGTCTTCCTCCCTTGCCTCTTTCCTATCCGCCTTGACCTAGGCCCCCAACTCCCTTCTGCTAAACCCAACCCCTCCCATCAAAATCCCCACCCACCTTGATTTCCAGTCTCCCTTTTCCTAAACTAGCTGCCTACTGGTGGGAAATGATGACCAGAATCCACAGTGATGAGACTGAAACGGAGGACTCCTGTGCCCTCAATCAGGCAAAGGGCCAGCTTTGGACACTCCATAAAACCTGTCTTGACCTGAATGGACCCAGAGCCTGGGGTGTCACCCCTTCAGGTTTGCTGTTCCAAAATGGACCTCATGGGAGCCCCTGAGCCCCTACTGACAACTCCTTTGCTGGTTGACTCTAGCTATCCTTGTAGGTCTATGACTTTTGCTACAAAGCTTTCGAGCAGAAAGTGTCACATTTTGGTAACCAGCTAGCGGCAGACTGATAGTCCCTTGAACATCCCCAGCTGCTACCTTCCCTCATGCCCAGCAGACCCCCCATTTCCCAAGCAAGGTGACACTTTGCCTGGCAATACCTTAAAATACTGGTGCCAAAATTCTGAAAAGATCTTATTTTGACCATCCCTATTTCTTCCCTGCCTCCCAGTGCACTTTCAGCCACACAGCTCCAAGAGATTTGGGGGTGGAGGAAGGTTTGTGACTAGTGTATCCAGAATAGTGCATGACACGTGGATTGGAAGCAAACGTGTAACTATAGTCCTCAGCCCACTGACTGAGGTATCCACTGCTTAAACATTCCCTGGAGACATGCAAGTGGCAGTCTCCATGCTATGAGCCTTCCACATCCTAAGTATATTCTGACTTGCAGTTCATTCTCCCACCCCACCTTCTGGCCCTCTGGGTGACCTCACTTGGCCTGTTAGTTCCTCTGTATACTACTTTGCTTCACTTACACCTCAGGGGGGTATCCCTTCCTTCCATCCACCACTCCTGCACACGTCTCCCTCTTGTCCCTCAGCTCGCTGACCCTTCCCTAGGTTGCCAAGTACAAGACTTCTTGCTGAAAGTCTCATTGGCACACTTCTGCCCAGTCTAACCTGTCTCCTACTGAAGCTCTCCTTGGGTTCCCATAGTATCAGGAGATTCTACACTCACCCAAAGGAGCACATCTCCAAGATGACTTCCTCTCCCAGATGGTCAGCATCTCTCCCTTTGTGGACCCACCTCACCCCACGCTTCTTGATCCAATATTCTGTTCTGTGCTAATCTGGCTTCTCTTTTGTAAAGCTGCCATTGTCTTTTGACATAGTGTAATTTCTTTATTCCTTGCTTAGCATCTCTCTTTCCTGCCAGAAGGTGGGCTTCCTATAGAGACAAGTCTTCTTAGCCACTCTGGTTCTGCTGTGTCTAAGCCCTGGTACACAGTGCAGCTCAGTTTGTTTACTATGTAAGTAAGCCAGAGATTAAACTATGGTCTACAAAATTAAACTCATCTTCAGCTCAGACCTCCTTGCTATGGAGCAGATGAAATTTTGAGTGCTAGCTAGACTTACAATGATGTCTTGATCCAGTGTGTGTGTGTGTGTGTGTGTGTGTGTGTGTGTGTGTGTGTGTGTGTGTGTGTGTGGCTTTTATTGCTCCTGGTTAGATAATATCTAAAGGTATATTCATATTCTACCTCATCTTGAGTCTGATTTTTCTTTTTCCAGGAATCAGAATCTCTTTAGATTCAGCTTTTTTGGTCTTTGCTTTATGTTGTTTGGGATAGATAGTCTTGCTGTATATCCCAGGCTGCCTCACACTTACCATTAGCACATCAGCCTCTGAGTTTTGGGGGTTTGTACATCTCTTTTCTTTAATTTTACACTTAAACGTTTCCCGCTACACTTCTTTTAATTCTTGCTAAATTCACTGAGCTAGATATTTTTCTGATTCATCTCCAGTTTTCCCCTTTTCTCTAAGTTCCTCATAAGCATTCAGCACTTCTAATTTCCCATTATCATTTGAATTAGAGTGTTGATATGTAATGCTTTTATTTTGTTGTGTTCTGATTTTCAGATGTCATATATTTTGGCTCAGGAATTACAAGAATGTGTATTTATGTTTTCAAATGTTTACTATATTTTTGTGGACTACTTTTTTTGTTGTTTTGGTTTTTGGTTTGTTTGGTGTTTTTTGGGGTTTTGTTTTCGAAACAGGATCCCTCTGTGTAGCTCTGGCTGTCTTGGAACTTGCTCTGTAGACCACGCTGGCCTTGAACTCACTGAGATCTGCCTGCCTCTCCCTCCCAAGTGCTGGGATTAAAGGTGTGAACCACCACTGTCCAGCATAGACTAACTCTTTACTAATGACTTCTTCCTGCATTATGGTCAGAAAACATGGTCTGGACAATACCGATATTTGTGTAGTTTGTGAAGATTTTCCTTGTATCCTGAAGCTGAAGGAGGAAAAATGACCAGTTCTGGGTCAAATTGGACCACATAATGAGATTACATCTCAAAAACCAAAGCAAGCCAGGCATGGTGATGCACAGATGGTTCACTGAGTTCTAAAACCAGTCTTATCTACACAGTGAGTTCCAGGACTGCCAAAGCTACACAGACAAACCCTGTCTCTGAGGTGGGTGTTGGGGGAGGCTAGAGAGATCACTGATCAATTAAGAGCGCTTAAAACCTTTGGAAAGGACTCAGTTCAGTTCCCAACACCAATGATCTGGAACTCCTGTTCCAGTGGTTCGGATGCCCTCTTCTGGCCTCTGTAATCACTGCATGTATTCAGTGGACATACATAAAGTGCAAGCAAAACACTTCTACACATAAAATTGTTTAAAAATCTTTTCTTTAAGTTTTGTTTTGTCTTTTTGAGACAGGGTTTCTCTTTGTAGCTTTGAAGACCCTGCTGATCTTGAATTAACAGAGAACCTCCTGCTTCTGCCTCCCTAGTGCTGGGACTAAAGGTGTGCAAAACCACCACCAGGCTCAGTGAGTACTTCTTTAGTCTCCATCATATGTTGACAATTTTCTTAACTCATTGTTCTTTCTTGCTGCTCACTCTTTAATCTCTCCAGGGCCTAAATTATCTTCTTGAAAATATATCCCTTAGAAATTTCCCAGAACTGTCTAATAATGGCAAATGCTTTGTCTTTCTTTAACATGTCTTGCTTTGCCCTTGCTCTTGTCTTGTTTTGCTTTTGTTTGAAATTTTAACATTTATTTTAGCCGGGCTGTGGTGGTACTCCCAGCACTCAGGAGGTAAAGACAGGCAGATCTCTGTGAGTTCGAGACCAACCTGATCTACAAGAGCTAGTTCCAGGACAGCCTCCAAAACCACAGAGAAATCAAGTCTTGAAAAAATTATTTTATTAATTATGTGTATTGTGTGTCTGTGTGTAGGTTTGTGCATGTAAGTATAGGTGCCCCCAGGAGAAGGCTGTGATCCTCCCCAAACTCAAGTCCCTTGCTAGAGCAGAACACAATCACTGAGCCATCTCTCAAGCCCCATTGAGACAGGGTATGATGATTGGAATAAGAATGGCTCCCATAGGCTCTAGATTTGAATGTTTGGTCACCACTGAGTGGCACTATTAGAAAGAATCAGGAGGTGTGGCCTTGTTGAAGTAAGTGCATCACTGGGTAGCAGGGGGGTACTTTGATGTTTCAAAAAGCCCATTCCAAGGCCAGTTTCTCTTCCTGCTGCCTTGTGGATCCAGATGTAGAATTGTCAGCTACTTCTCCAGTGCCATGTCTGCCTGTGTGTCACTATGCTTCCTGCCATCATGACAATGAACTAAACCTCTGAAACCATTAAATGAAAGCCATTAAATGCTTCCTTTTATACGTGTTGCCATGGTCATGGTGTTTCTTCACAGCAACAAAACACTAAGACACAATCTTACAGCCCAGGCTGGCCTCAAACTAGCAAGCCTCAGTGATGGGACTACAGATCTATACCACCATGCTTACAGATGTATACCACCTTTACCTTTTGTCTTAGTCAGAGTTTCTATTGCTATGACCAAACGCCATGACCAACCAGCAGTTGGGGAGGAAAGAGTTTATTTGGCTTACACTTCAGCATTGCTGTTCATCACTGAAGGAAGTCAGGACAGGAACTCAAATATGGCAGGATCCTGGAGACAGGAGCTGATGTAGAGGCCATGGAGGGGAGCTGCTTACTGGCTTTCTTTCCCTGACTTGCTCAACTCACTTTCTTATAGAACTCAGGAACACAACCCAAGCATGGCACCACCCACCAAGGCCTGGGCCCTCCCCCATTGATCACTGCATAAGAAAATGCCTTATAGCTGGGTCTCATGGAGGCATTTCCTCAACTGAGTCTCTTTCTCTGATAACTCTTAACTTGTGTCAAGTTGATACATAAAACCAGCCAGCCAGTACACCTTTATTTTTTGAATAACAACTGAGCCAATATACAATCCTAAGCCGATAGTTATTTTCCTCAAAATGTTTTGAAGTCTTTTTTTCTCTTGTTTTGTGGTACTGTGGATTGAACCCAGGGCCTTATGCCTGCTAAGCAAGTGCTCTACCGCTAAGCTACATTCCCCAGCCCACTTTGAAGCATTTTTTTTTCCTTTCTGGAATATTACATTCTGGATAGGTTTTGCAGTTCTAAATCCTGTAACAGTAGTTCTCTCTTTAACTGAGTTTAATTTGCTATCAATCCTGTTTGTAGTCTAGTAATTTTTATTGTTAAAAGCACCACATGGTACATTCCTTAATCTTCATGTTCTTTTTTTTTTTTTTTAATTAGTTTTCACTTAATTCAGTTTTGAAGTTTCTTTCATTCTTAGACTTTTCAAACATATCTATCTTAAATTTTTGTTTGATTATGTGACATTTTGGTGGAAAGG